TCCCTCATCAAATGTCCTCCCCACCCCCCTCAGGCATACCAATATCCCACTTAGTAGCTGCTGTATAGATATCCATTTTGCATCTAGCTTTATCTGGAAGAATGGGATGACTGTGGTACATTAACTTTGAATCATTATGTCTTGGTCAATTTAGGTCATTTTGATTTAACCCACTAGTGACTGTACATTTAGAAGCCAATAATCACAATCTCTGGGCGGTATCAAAATTGGTGTGCGGGCCAATCCGGGGAAACGGCGGCCTGTGCACTGCCCTGCCATGGGCGACAAAATCAGAGTGCAAGGTCTGATCTTGCGTTGCACTGGTGGGACAGCTGGCAATGTTTATTTTTCTGAGTTTTACACACATGCTGTAAGTGGGTTAATGTTTAATACAAAATATGCAGAAAATTATTCTCTATAGGCTATGAAGAATCTTTTTCAAAAGGAAAGAGAATTTTATTTAGTTATTTTTTTAACTATTTATTTGCAGTTTTAGTGGTATTATCAACTTCATTATTTTGGCAATCTTTGGGATATACAAGAAACAGTAATTTGACATGTTAAAAGATATTACATAAGCTTTGAGTGTTTAAATATCCAACAAAACTGTATCAGCCCAAATATTCTCTTTTCTCTGCTCTCTCTCTCTCTTCTCTCTCTCTCTCTCTCTTTCTGCTCTCTCTGCCTCTCTTCTCTCTCTTGCTCTCTCTCTCTCTCCTCTCTCTCTTCTCCTCATCTCTCTCTCTTCTTCATTCTCTGCTCTCTTTCTCTCTCTCTCTCTCCTCTCTTCTTCTTTTCTCTCTCTCTCGCTCTCTCTTTCTCTTCCTCTCTCTTGGCTCTATCTCTCTTCTCTCGCTCAACTCCTTTCGCTTCCTCTGTCTCTCTCTTCTCTCTTATCTCTTTCTCTCTCCCTCTCTTCCTCTCTCTCTCTCCTTCTTTTTCGTTCTCTCTCCTCGTTCTCTTCTTCCCTCTCTCTCTCTCTGCTCCCTCCTCTCTCTCTCTCCTTTCTCCTCCTCTCTCTCCTTTCCTCTCCTCTCTCTCTTTCTCCTCTCTCTCTCTCCTCTCCCTCTTTCCTCTCTCTCTTTCCTTTCTCCTCTATCTCTTCTCTCTTCTTCTCGCTCTCTCTCTCTCTGCTCTCCTCTCTCCTCTCTTCTCTCGTCTCTCGGCTCTCTCTCTCTCTCTTTTCTCTCTCTCCTCTCTCTCCCTCTCTCTTTCTCCTCTTCTCACTCTTTCTCTTCTCTCTTCTCTCTCTCTCTCTCTCTTCTCTCTCTTTCTCTCTCTTCTCTCTCTCTCTTTCTCTCTCTCTCTTTCTCTCCTCTTTCTCTCTCTCTTCTTCTCTCCTTCTGCTCTCTCTCTCTCTCTCTCTCTCTCTCTCTCTCTCTTCTCTCTCTCTCTCCTCTCCAATCCTCTCTTCCTCTCTCTCTCTCTCTCTCTCTCTCTCTCTCTCTCTCTGTCTCTCTCTCTCTCTATTTTTCCCCTCTCACCTCCCCCTCTCCCCTTCCCTCTCTCTCCCTCTCTCTCTGCCTGCCCATCTCCCTTTCTCTCTCCCCTTTACTTCTCTCTCCTCCCCTCTTCTATCCTCACTCCTTTACCTCTCCTTTTTTTTTTGCCTTGTGTCCCTGTCCACTCTTTCTGCCCTCTCTCTTCCTCATTCTCTCCCACCATCCTAACTCCCTTCCTCTCCCTGTCTGCTTCACTTTCACTTCCTTCCTCTTTCAGTCTCATTCTCAGTAGGTTTAAAGCACAGGGTACTAAATGTTTGTGCATATCACACTTAGGGGACAGTTGGTTTGTAGGGGGAAAGCTAAATTTTAGTGTTTTATGTGTAGGATCTGAGATGCGTTAGTGTAATTTTGTGGAAGGCATCTTTTTTGTCTGCATGTATAATGTGTTGTGGGAGTCTATTCCATTCACAAATGGTGCATGGAAAGTTTGAGTGTTTGAAGGAGCTGATACTGGTAGGATATCTCAAGTATTTCTGGTTGTGGGTGTTTAGTGTATTAGGTGTTTTTGCATGATGTAAGTATTCTTGTTGATCTATGTTGATTTGGTTGTTTGCGATTTTGTATGTAATTGTTAGTCTGTGTGGTTGTCTGTATATTGGAAAGGCATCCATGTGTAATTGTTTTTATTCATGTTGTGATACCAGGAGTTTTAGTGTAGGTGTTTGTAATGAACTTGGCTGCTGCAGTATTAATATTTTCTAGTTTGTTGATGTTTGTTTGTGTGTGTGGGTCCCACACTGCTACGCAATACTCCAGTGTTGGGCAGACAAGGATGTTATAAGCTATTTGCTTAGTGTCTTGTGTACAACCTTCCTTATGTTTACATCCCACTCTCTACCTGTTTTACGGTCGTAGCTTCTGTTTTCCTCTTTTTTATCAAGGCAAATATGTGCTTGAGGGGTTGATGATAATTGGCTGAATGGAACATGCATGAGTAACATAATTGTATTTCAAATGGTTATTATCAGCAGCTTGTCAATTATCAGGTAATCATC